ACTTAGTAATATGCATTTCAAGTTCCTCCCTGTGTTTTCGTGGTTTGATAGTTCATTTTTTTTCCTGGCACTAAGTAATATTACATATTGCCAGATATACCGCAGTCTATCCATTCACCTACTGAAGGACTTTGTGATTGCTTCCAAGTTTTGGCAAACATCCTTGCACACCTGTAAGCTGCTATAAACATCTGTGTGTGGGTTTTTGTGTGAACCTTCAACTCCTTTGGGTAATACCAACAAATGTAACTCCTGGATAGTATGGTAAGAATTTGTCTAGTTTTATAAGAAACTGCCAGCCTGTCTTCCAGAGTGGCTGTTCCATTCTGCATTCCCACAGGCAATGAGTGAAAGTTCCCGGTGCTCTACATCCTCACTAGTGTGTGGTGTTATCAGCGTTCCAGATTTTGACCATTCTACTAGGTATAGATAGTGATATCTTATTATTGTTTTAATTTGCATTTCCCTCATGACCTATGATGTGGACCATCTCTTCATATGCTTATTTTCCATCTGCCTATCTGCTCCTTGGTGAGGTGTCTGTTAAGGTCTTTGGCCCATTTGTCAATCGCATTGTTTGTTTTCTTGTTGTTGAATATTGAGAGTTCTTTTGTATATTTTGGGTAACTGTCCTTTATCAAATATGTCTTTTGCACATATTTTCTCCCAGTCTATGACTTGTATTCTCATTCTCTTGACAGTCTTTCACAGAGAAGATGTTTTTAATTTTAACGAAGTCCAGCTTAAACATTATTTTTCATGGATCTTGTCTTTGCTGTTAAATCTATATAGGCATCATCATACCCAAGGTCATGTAGATTTTCTCTTATGTTATCTTCTGGAAGTTTTATAGGTTTGCATTTTACATGGAGGTCCATGATCCATTTTGAGTTAGCTTTAGTGAATGGTATAAAGTCTGTGTCTAGATTCACTTTTTTTGCATGTCGATGTCCAGTTGTTCCAGCCCCATTTTTGAAGAAACTGTATCTGCTCCATTGTATTACCTTGCTTTTTTGTCAAAGATCAGTTGTTTATATTTGTGTGGGTCTATTTTTGGCTCTTTTTCTTCTCTAGATTCACAGAGTCTTAATAGTACTTAAAATATTTATTTTATTATACCCTGCAGTTTAACAAGTTATTTGTGCCTGTCTCCCTATGTCCTGTTCTATGCCACCACCAACATTGTACCCTATCCCACTGTACCCCGACTCTAATTTTAAATACTGGGACATGTATCAGCTCACCGCAGAGGCTCAATATTTGCTGCATTTGTACATTCTTATGAAATGTGAATCTGAAAACTAATTATAATTAAACATGCTGAGTCTGACTACCGGCTCTTCCTAAAGCATAATGAGTTGGTGAAAAGCCTCTAGGCTGGAATATCTCGAGAAGTGTCTTAGTCCTACTGTCTCAGAAGGTTGGGATGATCCTTCTTCTTCCATGTGTATTCTAACCACACTTAGAATTCCCTTTACATTTACTTAATTTCCACGTAATTCATATTAGGGCACTGGGCCCTAGCTAGAAATCCTTCAGATATAGATCACTTCTCTTTTGTGTAACACTCCTTACTCTAGGCAGATTCCTTTTCTGTTCTGCAACCTTCTTCATTGAAGTTACATAAGACACAATCCACCGATCCTGTCCCCTTCCTATGCATTCACTCCTTTCCAGGTTAGACTCCACTGCACTCCCTTTGGCTGCTGACTGCTTCCCTGGGGCTTCCTGCCCTCCCAAACCAGACATTTGGCTACCAGTTGTGTTGCAATCTCTCTACCTACCATCTGCCCCGTGGGAGACATTGCATTGTTACATTTTCCTCTTTTTCACTCTCTATATCATGAAAGGGTTATTTACTTGAATAGAAGGCCCATTCCCCCAGGAGACAGACCCGAAATTCTTTCTATGGTTCTTTAGGTTTTCTCATTTTCCCTGTAGTAAAGCAGCAGGATCCTGAGGCTGGGTTTTAAACATGTTCCTCTCCATATGAGTTTCCCTGGCCTTAGTGGCCTCTGTTTTGATGCTTTTCTTTTTCCCCCCTGTTCTTCCTTCATTGACAGAGTAGCAAGTATCACTAATATTGTACTTTCCAATAGCAATACCCTGATTTCTGTCCTTAATGACTTAATAATAATGGACTTCAATTTTTGATCACCAGCAGTACCAAGATTTTTTTCTGGATTTTATGTTCTGTTCTCACCCTCTAGGATTCACATTTGTTCTGAACTTCACTTTAGAGATGTAGTTTGTGTTTTATTCTCAACCAACCTAACAGCAATTAAATTAGTTTAGCTGACAAAACCACTTTTGATGGATAGATACATGGATGAAAACAGATAGATAGAGATGGATAGATAGATAGATGTTAGATGCTTTGCTCTAAACAGGGTTTCTTGACCCTGGGACTGTTGACATGGGGGGCTGGCTAGTTCTTTGTTGTGGAAGGCTGTCCTGTTTATTGTGGGATGTTAACAGCATCTCTGGCCTTTACCTAATAGATGGTAATCTTCCCCACCTCCCCAAGTTTTCCGACTGAAAATATCTTCAGATATCACTAAATGTTCCTGGGGGGGACAAAATCATCCCCACTTGAAAATCACTTCCTTAAATTTATTATATTCCCAATTATTTGTAAATAATAATGATAATATTTTATAGTACTTTAAAGTTAGCATACATTGTGTGAACACTGTAGGCCAGGCCCTTTGCAAAGCACTTTCACATATAAACTTCTCCTGTGCTTAAAATATCTCTACAAATTAAGTATAAGGAAACAGAATTTAGAGAAAGTCAAATAGCTAATAAATGGTGAAGCTGTTTTTTAAGCAACTAGCCAATTTCAAAGCTCATGCTTTTTTACAATTATGTCATACACTTTACATCTTGTCATCTATCTATCTATGGGAGCCTTTTCTTGGAGGATAAAATGTTTTGTTTTCATTTTTTTGATTATTTATTTAATTTTTTTTAGCTCATTTAGCTAATGTCTAAGTATGGTGCTTAGCTCATAGTAGATACCAAGGAATACTAGTTGGACTGAGTATCTTTTGGTTTGATCTGAGAATGAAATATTGCCATACTTGGCACATAGTAGGTTCTTTTTTGTTATTATGTTATGTTAATTACCATACATTGCATCATTAGTTTTTGATGTTCTTAGTAGGTTCTTTTTTTTTTTTTTTCACATTTGGTTGTTTATTTAAGGAACACAAAAAAGTGCATCTGAGTGACTTTTTCTTTTTTTAAAACCAAGTTTTTAATTCATCATATGCTGCCTCAGCACTCCAAATGCAGTCTGAAAGGTGGTTCAAAGACATCTGCTGGTTTCTAGACAAATTAAGATTACTGAATTTGATACGAGAATATATGAAGTTTCTTCTCCTCGAGTGGTGATGGGCACCTCACCATGGTTTGCTCAGAACCACCCGCGCACCCCAGCCCTCCCCCGCATGCACTCTTGTCCGCTCCCGCCGCCCCGCCCCACCCGCCAGGGTAACCCATAACACACACCTGGGAGACAATTGGCTGGGATAATCTAAGTTTTGGAATTGTTTTTTTTTGTTGTTGTTGTTACCTGCAAAAAGCTAACTGGCCTTTTTAGGATCAAATCTCAGTATTGGCCTCATTGGAGTCATGCTTTAGTCAACAGAGCTACAAATACTAAAAAGTCAAGCAAAATCAACTTCTGCTTTTCATGTTTCCTAGGTGAGATTGGAGCTTTTTAAAGAAATCTCACGAAAAAAGACAAAAATGAGAAAAGGATTCTAGTTGTCAGAGGAGAAACAATTTAATTCCATTTGTTCCACGGAGAAGAAAACTGGTATAAATGGAAAGGATTTTATTTTTAGGTTTTGATGTGGGTCCTAACCTAACAATGAAAATGTTTTGCTAAAACCACCGTAAAAGTAAAAAACTAGTAATTGCCAGTGTTCTTTAGGATTTTACAAAGTGAGATGTTCCAGGTTGGAGCTACTGTTTCCTTCAGTTGTAAACACGTGCCCAAAAGTGCTTCTCAGGCCGTGGGGAGACAAAGCCACGCTCAGTCTCGCTTACCCGTAAGGACCAAGATTCCGCTACGTGTATGTATTTTAAGACTTGCCCTGATTCAATGCCCCGGGACTGGAGCTTTTAGGCGAGATGTGCCTGCACAGGAAGCGGTTTTCAATTCTTTTTCACAGCTCACACCAGAACGAAGAAGCCATCAGCAGGAGAAGAAAGCTACTGCGTGCCAAACCTGGGAGGACACCCTTCGTGTACAAGAACAACACCTTATTTTTTCAACTCTACAGATACTGTTTTTAAAAATCAAACTACTTAGTAGTAAAAAGTCAAATTTTTTTTTGCATGATAGAGGAGTGTAAATAAAGTTTCATAAACCAGTATACATGTTTATGAGCCAGTAATTTTTAAAAGACAAAAAAAAAAAAAACCCTGCGTGGATCCTAAATGGATATGTAAATGAATCCACTCCAGTTCAGAGATATTATAAGAACCAGTCTTAAATTCTTAATAGCAAGGGTTAGAATGGAAATAAGAAACGGAACAGAAGGAAGGCTAGCAGGCACTACTGTACTCAACATTACTTCCTACAAGGGACAGAGCAGGGGAAGAGCACAATTCTGATCGCTCTTTTCACATTTCAGCATCTCAGAACTTCATCGAAAGCAGGGGAAGGCTAATCTAGAAACTCCCTCTGCTCGTTATCATTGCTGAAGAATGTTTTGGGAAGGACAGACTCCCTCCTCCAGGGCCAGGCTGGGTGCAGGAGAGACCCGTTCTCCCAAGCAGGCTGGCACGGGGGTGGGGGGGGGCGCGGCGTGGCTAAGTCAGCAAGCAAGTGACCTCTGAGGTTCTGGCTTTCGAGTCTGGGCTGCTGAGGGCCTGAGGGGCTTCGAGACCCCTCTCCCCATGGGTTCTGTTGGGTAAAAACGCTAGCACTTCCGTCATTTAAAACACAAAATCTCCTCCTCCTCTCCCCACCCGACTGTAGGAAAGGAGAAAGTCATTAGGCATTTATTTTTAGGTTTCTGCAGTGCTATTGAAGTTCAATCAGATGTAAAACCTAACAGACAGCCCCAAATTATCAGGATTATCTCAAGGGACCCTGAATTAGATACTAAAAGTTGACAGAAACTGAAATGAGCTGGACTTAGCTGTTGGCTCAGTCTTGCCACGATTTCTGTTTTGTCCCACCTGGAGTGGTCCCACGCCATCCCCTCAAGGAGAGCGCTGGGCAGCAGCAGGGTGGCTGTTTTCTGGGAAGCTACTGGTTTTGCCATTTGCTTTCAGACTCACACAGACTCTAGCAAACTTGACATTAAACACTGGTTAGTCCTGAGTTGGGTGAAAGCCCGTGAAGGAGGGGCCAAGTTCATCAGGGCTCTTCCCTCCTTTGCGTGGGGTCATACGTGGCCTCCAGCTTTTTCTTCCATCGCTTGACCTTCTGTTTCTTTTTCATTGGTGACCCCTTCTAAAGCCTTCTTGCCCGTGGCTTTACTGGCCTCTTCCTTTGCATCCTGCTCTGCAAACTTCTTGAACATGTTGGCGTGTATCCTGCGATCCCGCTCGTTGTGCTCCTTAGCCTTTTTCTGGCACATGGAGATCTGCAGTCGTGCAGCCTTATTCTGGGGATTAACTTCCAGCACTTTCTCAAAGTCGCCCTTGGCTGACTCAAACTCGTTCATGAGCAGCTGGGCTTCCCCCCTCCTGTACAAGCCCTCCTCATTGGCACTGTCTAGTCCAAGGGCCTTATCACAGCATTCCACAGCTTTAGCGTATTCTCTAAGCTTCAGGTAGCACATGGCCAGGTTCAGGAAGGCAGCAAGCAGAAATGACTCAGAAGCTTTAGACTCCTTTTCTGATAAGCCATATTCCATCTCTAACCAGGATACGATCTTCCCATATTGAATCACTGCCTGCATGTACTTGCCTCCCTTGAAGTACACAGTTCCCTTCTCTTTAACAGCCTTCTTTAATGGCAGCCTGCTCCAATTTTTCTTTGGTGTCCATCTCCCAGGATTCTTTGGTCTTTTCGAAGCTCTTAAGTGTCACTTCATATATAAGCTCAGCATTAGGTTCAATGCCAAATTTAGGCTTCCCTGCCTCTCCAAAACCATATCGTGGTCCAAGATATAAAATACATTGTTCTTCCCGTTGCATTTTCTCCAGGGCTTTGTCAATTCCAATTGGAATGTCATGGTCGTCTCCTTCCCCAACAATGAATACCACATCTCTGCAATCAAACATCCTTCCATCATAGCGGCCTTCCAGGTGGATTTCAACTGTTGCTCCTTCGTTTGGTTTGAATATCCTTCTCCTTTCTGTTTGACTCTTCGGATAATGCCTCCATCTTCAAATAAATCCTCTCCTTTGAAATCAAGCAGCTCAATTTCAAAAAAGAGAGTTGCACTTGAGGGAATTTTGGGGAGACTGCCTGCTGAGCCATATGCATATTCTGGTTTGCAGAGTAAATGGCAGATCTCTCCTTTCTTCATGGTAGCCACCCCAATGTCCCATGCCTTGATGACTTGGCCTTTGCCAAGACTAAAGACAAATGGTTCATTTCTATCATGACTGGAATCAAACTTCTTTCCATTTGACAATTTCCCTTTGTAGTGGACATAAACTTTGTCTCTAATCATTGGTATTTCCTCACTATTCCCCACTCTTTTGACAATCTTTAATACTCCTCTATCTTTTTTAGAGGTGATATCCTCTCCACGTTCAGCCATAGCTGCTGCTGGGTTTTCTCCATTGTTCTTGGCACCTTCATCAGTAGTCATGGTCTTTTTTAAGTTAGAAAACTGTAAAATGCCCAGATCTTAAGTAGTCAGCTCAGTAAGTTTGAACAAGCGCATACACCAACAACTGGTGAATCTGGATGTTCCTTGTACTAGGTCTTGCAACTTTTCTGTCGCCGTGGTTGCTCCTCGGCCCCGTCTCTCTCTGCTTCACCCGCGCGCCGCTCGGCCCCCCAGCCCGCCCAGCAGGCGGTCCGCGCGCTGGACGCCGCCGCCCGAGACCGGCAGCGCCCGCTCTTAGTAGGTTCTTAATAAATATTTGCTAAATTAACACACTACGTAGTCCAGAGAAAACAGGTGTTTTACCCTCTATTGGTTTTCTACATCCCTCTGAACTTGTACAGTGAGGGGTAGGGGAGAGATGGGGATCACTGCAAGATAGCATTTGTACTTCTTTTCATCTGTGACTTTAATATAACCTTTCTAAATCTTTCCTTTCCACTCATTATTTCTTTCAAATCTGGTCTTGGTCAGCAATCATAACCAGAGTAATGTTGCATTATCTTTACATGGCACCATTTTCTGAGGAAACAGAGCTATATTGCACTCACTATTCAATTTATCCTAAGTCGTTAGCGAGGAGAATTAGGGATATCATGTTTTCCTTTTTAGTAGACAGGGTTATTTGGAAGCATCAAATAACTGACACACCCAAAGATTATTAAAGCAAATTCCTGACTCCTAATCAGTAGCATTACCATTACTAAAGTTAATTTCTCTGTTAAGAAATAATAGAAACTTCACTCTCTAACCCACTTGATTTAATAAAAACTGTGGGCTGGTTCCTATAGATATACGTTGGGGAAATGAAGAAAAAGACATTTATTTTGTGCTTACACTATCCTAACTACTCTGACAGTCACTTTAAGTTTGTAAGCTCATTTTGGAGTAGGTGTTAGCATCTGCATTTTTAAAAATGAAGCTGAGAGAAATTAAGAAACCTTCCTCGAATCTACAGCTGGAAAGTAATGGACCCTGGCATCTAAAATGGCTCAGGTTTCAGGGTGCCTGGGTGGCTCAGATGGTTAAGCGTCTGCCTTCGGCTCAGGTCATGATCCCAGGGTCCTGGGATCGAGTCCCGCATCGGGCTCCCTGCTCCTTGGGAGCCTGCTTCTCCCTCTGCTTCTCCCTCTGCTTCTCTCTCTCTCTCTCCCTCTCTCTCTCTCCCACTGTCTCTCGTGAATAAATAAATAAAATCTTTAAAAAAAAATAAAATGACTCAGGTTTCAAAGGTATTTCTACTATGGTGGTGTTTTAATTAATTTCCACAAACTCTGCTGCAAATAAGAAGTCAAAACAAATCAGCACGTACAAAGGGTTTCTTCAATCCCCATGGTTGTTCAAGAGTCAGCCTTCCCACTGAAGCAGAAAAAGTAGAAATGGAAGAGGTTATCTTTGGGGTCCACAGGTTGTGCAAATGAGACAAGAACATAAGTCACATTGATCTGGAGGGGCTAGAAGAGTAAAACTGATGTACTCTTGCCTTCTTCCCAAGAATACCAAGACTGTGGAACACTATGTGTATGGAACAGTTGCTGCTTTGTGGTCCAGAGATTGTTGTATTTCTCTAGTAGATGAAGTGATTCCAGGATACTCCACATGGCACTTTGGGACTCTTACAGATGAAAGGTGCTATATACATGTCAGGTATTACTATATAGCACTTACAAAAAAGTGTTTCCACTTACTGGTGTGGACTCATTGTTGAAAAGCTTAGAGATGATAGTTATTGCTGGTAATAGCAGTCAGAATAGCGGTGTAAATGACCTTTTTTTTTTTGCCATAATTTGCTCCATATCTTACTGTTATTTTGCTCCATAATCCAGGGTGCCTAGAACAAAGAAGGAAGATATTTGCTGACAAGGTTTTAAAATAGAAAGATGACTATTTTTCTTACTGTGATCAAGGTCAACAGCAAGGAAGGGATTTACATGAGTGCATCATAAATGAAGTTAGACCACAAGAAGTTTTTTTTTAAATGCTGTATGTGACATTTTTGCTTTTAAAACTCACAACCTAAATGTTATTGTCTTCTGACAGTGCATTATTATAATTGGGAATTGTGTACATTTTATTGGTAGAAAAAACAATATAATGCAATGTCTATGTTTAGGAACTAATTTCAAAATCTCCTTTTTGGGCAATCATCTGGGCTCTGAAATCATTTGGTTTGGCCAATTTTGCCACCCACCTGTGTCCATTGGCTTCCTATCTTTCCTTTAAACATCTGTAAGAAGCCGCGAGAGAGATATGCCCATCACCTTACCCTGGTGTTATTGAACTCTTCACAATGAACTATTGTTCAGCAAAGCAAATAGTGTTACCTTGGGAAACAAAACATCCCTATTTTTTTTTTTAATTACCTCAACTTAGATTTCTACTCTAGTGTTAAGAAAACCTCAACATGGCAGAGAAATGAGATTTTCCTAAGAGTATACAATCACTAAATCTAGTTAGAATTAGATTTCAAATTCAGGTCTCTTGATTTCAAATTCTAAGAGCTTTCCTTTAGATGAGGGGTTGAGACAATTTCTCTAAGGGGCCAGATAGTAAATATTTTCAGCTTTGCAGGTTACAGGAGTTCTGTTGCAACTATTCATTTTTGCCCATGTAGAGAGAAAACAGCCATAGAAAAAAAGGTAACCAAATAGCTGGGTTCCAATAAAACTTTATTTACAAACCAGGCAGTCGCTGGGCTATACGGTTTGCCACCTCTCCTTTATAGTCTGTTTCCCCCGTAATTCTACACAATTTGGGATTTATTTATGGAATCTCTTATAGTTAAGTTTTCACAAAGTTTATTTATAATGATTAGAAAAAAGAGAAAATAACTGTGTTGTCCCCTAACCTAAACTACTAGGCTGACAAAATTTTCTAGTTTAAAAGTCTAGTAGAAATAGCACTGGACTTAGAGTCAAAAACTTGGATTAGAAAATGGGTTCCATATAACCTTAGCCAGCTGTGACCTTGAGGAAATCATTACCTTCTCTGAGACCCAGGCTACTACAGATATGATTTTAACAGTCATTTCACTGGGTGGTTAGAAGGATCAAATGTGGTCCATGTGGTAGTGACTAAACCAGCACCTGCTGTATAGTAAGCCCTCACCAGAGACCTGTCAGATCTCTGTTTTAACATAACTAGAGCTTTCTTTCTTATAATTCTGGTGTTTGGGTAAAGAAATATGAGCATGTTAGCCATTAGGTCATTTCATGTGTGTTTGTCAAGCCATTAGTTCATATCACCTAAATGGAGTTTGGGACTATTAAATGGCAGCTTTTTATAGAATTCTGAGGTTATGAATATTACTATATTTTCACACAGTTGCTATTTCAGCTATTGATTTTTATCAGAGGTGTGGTAGCCTTTGTGGTTGGTCTCCCCAAAATCCATTCTACTTTCGAATAATCTAGGAGAATTCTGTTAACCCTGTTTATGTTATTGGTGATTAGTTTAGGACTATACGTGTCTCCCAGTCCCAATCATTGAGACAAGAGGGGAATTATGCTGTTTAGAGGATTCTGGAAAAAGTGTCCTCCCTCCTACAAAGGAGACATGAAAAGAGACAGTGCCTTTGTGCATCTTTTTTTTTTTTTAAGATTTTATTCATTTATTTGAGAGAGAGAGAGCACGGATACGATCTTCCCATA